TTTGGATTGCAATTTTAAATGTCCAATTTGTCTTTAAACTCAATGGACTTTGTGATGTAGATGAAGTTGGATAAATGTTCATCAATTCAAATCTACCTAAGAGTAAATTATTTAATTCATTTTTGGTGCTTTGGATTAATGATATGTTTAGTGCTTTAATCCATCTAGAGGAGTGGTTGAATTTAAAGATGAAAGAATTTTGAAATGGTGATCCAAATTAGCTTATCATTTCCCTCCCTCTTCATCTTATCCCTTTCTTTTTTAATTGTGCTACATGTTAAGGGATGGTGATCTCTATATCATTTATCGAAACATGAAGTACATAGATTGCTATTGACCGGCCTCAAAATAGGTGTGACTTCTACATAAGTCCACTTACGATTGCTTAACATAGCGCTAAATTTTGTCCCGATTCGAATAAATGATCATTCGTGGCCCAAACTTATGATTGCAAGCCCAAGTATGTTAATTTGATCTCTTTGATCCAATAACCTTGAGATTTATTATGTGGAGGCTTTGGTTCTACCAATCCTCTAATGGATCTACAACACCTTTGGTCAACGCGGATCACTTAAACATCGTTGATCATTACATGTTGCCTTGTGAGAATTCCAAAAATGGATGATATACTTGACAAAAAGCAAATGCAACTTATTGTGTGGAGGCTTTGGTTCTACCAATCCTCTAATGAGTTCCAAATGCAAGTTTCAAGATGGTCATCCAACTAACCACTAATTACTAACAATTAACTTTACTTTACGCTTTTATTTTTATGCTTTATGTACCATTTACTTTTAGCATTTTACATTTCATGCTATTTTCATCTTTGCTCACTTGAGCATTTACTTTTATGTCATTTTTATTTTGCTCACTTGAGCTTTTCTTTCCTTTTAAAGACACCTAATAATCAATATGAACCATAAAAATCATTAATGATGCTTGGACTACATGGTTACTATCCTTTGCATTATGGAGTGATGGACTTCTTGGACTTAGGATTAGAGACCTTGGCCTATCGGAGACTTTGTGACTTTATTTGATATTTTGTCTAGAGTTCTTGAGGTTTACCTCAAGACATTGGGTTGTTTGTTTGTTTTGTGTGCAGGTTATTGAGATTACGATCTTTGTTTGTAATCTGGAATTCACCCGTATACAGCCGTTACTCTGCCCAATTTTTGCGAAGACTTAAAACACTTGAAGTTTGGTTCTCTCAATAGGTCTAGTATCTTTGCTTGCTTGGTTTCAATACAAAGAATGAGAGTTCTATATTGACTCATAATGTCAAGTATTGGCTTCTTGTTGGTTATATGGTTCTTATCCCTAGATTTTACCTTATGCTTTAGGATAGCCTCTTCTTCTCCTCCCATCTTCTTTAATTTCAAAAATCTTCTCCCTCCTTTAAAAAAAAACTCTTCTTGTTTTGAAACTTGAAACATTTTCATAATAAACTTGGACTTAGGTCCATGCATTTTCAAAACATTTTCATAAATAAATTTCAATCAATTTAATAATACCTTGACCTTTTTTGTGAGAAGACTAAAGTCAATCAATCTCATTTCAAACCATTTTTCCACTTTGGCTTTTATCTTTAAACTTTTCTCAAAAGATTAGACTCTTGTCAATCCTTGTAGTGATGCAAACAACTATACTTCTACAATATATAGTGAAGTGAGATATTTTCCACTTGGGTGTTGAGTGAGGCATTGTTGATTTTAAAATCCAAGCCATATCCTCCACTTTGAGATGATACAAATTCTCCTTTCTCATGATTGTGGGTAGTAAGTATGTTTTTCACACGGACAATTGCGATGATGTCTTATCTCATAAAATCAACCAACACACTTGTGTTTCAAATTTTTAAAAGAGGAACTACGTGTACCCTGATCCCCTATTGCATGAAAGGTGGTACGTAGGCACTAAAGGTTCGCAACCGCGGCGGGTGCAAAAATCATAAAAATATTTCTCTTCTCGCCTCCATCATCTATTTTTTATATAACACATTTTTATAGTCAAATATACAGATTTTTCAAAGAGGTTCCTGCGGAGTACCATAGATGTTTAGGGTGCTAATACTTTCCCTTTGCATAACCAACCCCCTTACCTTGAATCTTTCCCCCTCTTTTTGGGTTATTCTCTCTTTTCCCATTCCTTTGGAAACAATAAAGCGCGGTGGCGATTTTTATTTTGATTTGTATAAAGTCTAGTCAATCCAATGGCTTAGTCTTGCACATTTCTACCGCTATAGATGGTACTGACAATATTTTGTTCTGTCAGGCCCGAGTTTTGCAAGAGCGGGTCGAGGACGTCTAACGCCTCTGTCCTTAAAGTCGGTATTAGAGAACTCTGCCAGGATACGCTCGCGGGAAGCAATCAACAGTCAGTGGGGTGTACTCTGTGAACCTCCCTGCTGGTCCTCTATACTCGCGGGGATCCCACGGTTTCTCATTCATTCACTTCTCGTCAATCCATCGAGAAGGGCCCCCGTCCTGGTGTCGCAAAATGTTATCTAGTTCATGATTCCTCGAGTCATGGGCTTTATTGGCTACTTCTCCTCGTAGTCCATGTAGGCCTTGGCTTTTTCAGGGAGAGCGTCGAAAGATTGGGGAGGCTCAATGTCGACGGCCTTTCTGAATTCAGTTCCCAGGAGGAGTCATATCTCGAGCAGGTACCTTTTCATGTGATCGATGCACGGGACCTGAATAGCCTCGCGATTGAACCGATCAATGTATTCCCTGAGGGTCTCGTCGCTTCTCTGGACGATAGCCTCAAGGGAAGCCCCTGTCTTCAGATGTCGACGAGACACAGTGAAGGAGCTGATGAACTAGTTCTTGAGGTTTCTCTAGGAGGTGATCGACCCTGGGGAGAGGTTCTTGTACCAGTCCATGGTTGTTTTTCTCAAGGTCGTGGGGGAACAAATGACAATTTGATTGTCCCCGGACATTGTGATAATGGAGCATTGCTTTGAAACTGTCGATGTGGTCGACAAGATCTGCAATGTCGTTGTATTCCTTTAATAGGGGGGCTTCTCCATTCCCCTGGGAATGAGACCCTCTATGATCTCTTGTGATAAGGGGCCGCGAGGGTCATCTTCGTCACTTTTGTCTAGAGAGCGGGAGGAGGAGCAGTTGTAGTTGCGATCGTTGTGAAGACCTTGGCCAAAGGGAGGATCCCTTGGCCGATGTTGTCCTTCTCTGTTTCCCCTGTCTCTGTTGTTTCCAGGGGATCTTTGCTCCCTGTGTAGAGGGGTGTGACCGCGTCTCCGTGTGGCTTCGGGTTGTGTCCTCTCTAACGCGGGGCCTCATCCGGTTCGTCGGGGAGAAAGGCTTTGCGATATATCTTGTCTGTGTCTCTGTGGGGGAGATTGAGGACGGTCTTCGTTCTGACGGGGGAGAGGAGTGTCAGATCTCCTATTCCTTTTGAGGGCCCACCGAGTCTGTTCGAGCACCCTTAGCCGCTCACCCTGTGAGAAGATCAAGTATTTTGTCTGGTTGATGGCTGCGAATAGGGCTCTGGTCGTGGCGTCAGCGCCCACAGAGACGGGGACCTCCTGGAAAGAATTTGGTTCATAGTTCGGGGGAGGATAATAATCGTCCTCGTGCGGTCGGGAGCAGGGTGATGAAGTGACGGTCAACCCATCTCTATAGTTTTGCTCGGGATCGACCATGTCGTTGTCGACATTGTTGTTGCCAATGTTGTTGTTAGGGTCGGAGAGATGGACGTTTTGGTTGTTGTTGAGAGCTTGGTTGGCCATGACAATCAGAGTTTGATGGAGAGTTGCTTTAGTCTTGAGATGAAGATGGGGAAGCTGGATTCCCACAGACGGCGCCACTAATCGTACCTGACCAGAAGGGATTGTCAAAACCCACAAGCTTCGAGTCGAGTAGCAGTTGAAGGTGAAATGGGGGGGGGGGAGGGTACCTGCAAGACACTCTGATGTCAAAGTGAAGTTCAGAGCCAATGCAAGTAAGTGAGTATGAGAGAATGAATACCTGACCCTCTCAAGCGAGAGGGTATTTATAGCCGTCAACGCTGGGCCAAGGTCTTCAGTGATGGGCCACGATGAGGCCCAACAACGAAGACTGTCAGGGTTTACGTGTGTATGGAGTCCAGCACGTGGCCTCCCCCCGGGTTAACTGTCCCGATAAAGCAGGAACTGGACCCGTTATTCTCGGAAGGCATGATGATGATGATATGGGCACGTGAGCTACGTTCCCCTAATGGACACGTGGAAAAATGTCCAACAGTCATCAATTTGAGCTGTATGTTTTTGAACCTTCGATAAAAATGCTGGATTGAATCTCCCTAACGATGGAGCAAGTGCTGGCCCTTCAAATTTAAACCCAGATACCATTATATATATATATATATATATATATATATATATATATATATATATATATATATATATATATATATATATATATATATATATATATATATATATATATATATATATAACACATAATACTATATAATTAATTATATAATTAGGTTACTTTCATTTATTAATGGTATAGTATTATGTGATATTAAAACTCAAGTAGAAAATGCCGATATTACTAGGTCAAAATATCATATACCTAAAATTTATATCCAAATACCACTTTATTTACAAGTTGAAAAAATTGGATTAAAATTAGACTAGGACCAAAAACTTACCTTTAATAAATTTGAGGGGGTCAAAATTGAACAAAATAAAATTATGGGTTCAAAATCACACATTTAAAAAATTTAGAGGGTCAAAACTACATTTAAGTTTAATCCTTAGGTAATATCCACTTGTAAAACAACGATTGGTGCAAGCTACGTGTGATGACATGTTAAACGTGGAAAGCTACAAAGTTGGTTTTTTCGTTTCAAATCTTTCAATTATCATTTTCGTTTATAAAAGAAAAAAAAACCATCAAAATATTCTAAGAAAAATATACAGTATCATCATCTTCATCTTCAAATGTGTTAACACCAAAATCAAAGTTTTGAAATCACAGAAGAAGATCTCAATGATTAATTTTATGGGATTGTTCCACACATTTGTTTTGGTTTGCCAATTCATCATTCTTCAACCCTTTGTTTCTGCTTCAGGTATACTTTGATTTGGTTGAATTTGTTTGATTTTTTTGTAGTTTCTCTGCGACCCATTGTAATTCGATGTTTCGTTTCACTTTCCCCTCATTCAATTTCGTAACTTGAATGCTTTGATCGAAGTTTGTTTTGTGGATCGCATTGTTATTGGATTTTTGTTTGTGGCGTGAATTTCTGTGTTTGGTTATTGTATTTTAGTTTAGTGTTTATTGAGATTTGAGATAAACTGAAAGAATGCTGCTTTATGCTATGCCTTGGTTTATCCTTGGCCGTTCTGCATTAGTCTATATTTGATGTATTTTTATCATTTTCAGCAAATGAAGAGAGTAAGTGGTGTCATATAATAGTGTACCATTCAAAATACTGTTTTTTTATTGATAGATGTTGTGGTTCTAGTTCATCAAAAAGAGGGTGGAAGGGCAAGTTAAATCCATTGTCATGTGTATTTTATAAGACCATCATGAGAAATGTGAAACTAAGATAGTAATGGTATCACTCAAAGTGAAATTTTGATTTTTCATACATCTTCATGTTGCATGTCCAACTATAAGAGAAGTTATTGAGAAAGATCTGGAAATTAACTATTTGGATAGAAGCATGGTCCTAGGTAGAATATTATGGCGGAAGTTGATCCGTGTAGCTGATCCCACTTAGTGGGATAAAGTTTGGTTCTTGTTGTTGTATCAAGTTGCATGTCCTAGTTTGTTAATTACAATATGTGTGGTATATAACATATGTTATATATATAAGGCTGATTTGTATCGGTGTTGAAGCTGGTCAAAACCAAGTTTGACCAGAGCTTCCTATTACAAGCTCTTGGCAAAATTGCCTCATAACATTTTATTCAGTTTGTGTTTGCAGTAAGTGTCGATGGCTGATGGCGGCGGAGAGCTAAAATCCCGCCATGCCGCCCACTTGCTTTGCGGCGCCGTTATAGCCGATTACGGTGGAAAACCCCGCAATATTGACTGATATTTACCACTGCGTCCCCATTTTCAATTTTCATTTGAATTAAAATGTATTGTCTTTGATAGAACATTATGGTGTAATTTGATTCACGTAGCTGACCCATTTAGTTGGATAAGGCTTGTCGATGTTGTTGGACACAATCCCACTGAAAAATGTTACACCTAAATCTACTTCTCCTCTAGAATCCCACTGGAAAATGTTATTCCTAACTTTATTACTCTTCTAGAAACTCTGTAATGGTTCAGTGTTCAAGTGAAATAACAGTCTTTTCTTTGTTTTTTGATGTGATGGGGTGGCAACCCAGGAAATGCTGCTGATTTGTTTGAGAAAGCATCCCAAAGTATAAAAGGGGGACATTATACTGAGGCACTCAATGATCTAAATTCTGCAATTGAAGCAGATCCAAACCTTTCAAAAGCATACCATTACCGTGCTACAGTTCTTCGCCAGTTATGCAGGTGTGACTCATTTACAAATAGTACCCTGCCCCCTTGCTTTTTAAACTTAGAGAATATTCTTTGCCAAATGATGTTTAGCTTTTAAAAGTTTGATTAATAAAATAAAGAAACATATTATATTGGTTTCTATATTTTGTTTCATAAGGATAGGAGATACTGTTAAATATAGTATAACATGTGAAAACAGAAGCACCATTTTGCCCCCAATCATTCCTGAAGTTAGGAAATAATGTAAACCCTAAACTTTAAGATATTAGTTTCAGAAAATAACCATTGTGTCACTCATCTCCCTCCACCACTCCTATCTATCGTCTCCTCCCCCATTGTCCCAAGTTACTCAAACTCCTGATTGGATAGTTATATCATTCAGGTGCTTTTTGGCTAATGTAGATATGAGCAATCTGAAAGGAGCTACAAAAAGTTTCTGGAGTTAAAACCCGGACATTCAGCTGCAGAAAAGGAGCTCTCTCAGCTATTGCAAGCTCAAAGTGCGTTAGAAACCGCTCAGTCCCTCTACGAGTCAGGAAACTTCACAAAATCTTTGGAATACATTGAGAAAGTTGTTCTTGTTTTCTCTCCAGCATGCACTAAGGTAACGGCTTTATGCTTTTCCAACTCCATAAATTTCTTTTCTGTTTCTGTCTCATAGTAGTTACACTAGTCTGAGAGTGAATGCCTAGTTTTGGGGTTGGACTGTGAAGTCATTTGTGCAAACAGAATGATAACTAACTTTATATGCATTGTTTTCTTTAGGCTAAGCTTCTTAAGGCGAGGTTGTTGATAGCTGATAAAGACTATGATGGTGCCATTGCCGAGTCTGGTTTTCTTCTCAAGGAAGATGAAAACAATTTGGAGGCATTGTTGTTACGTGGTCGTGGATATTACTATTTAGCTGATCATGATGTTGCCACAAGGTTTGTCTTGTGGAAACGCGTTGAATACTAGTAGCATTCTTACAATAATTTTTTAAAATTATCTGGCTTATATGTGGGTTTATATTCAGGCATTACCAGAAAGGTCTTCGCCTAGATCCCGAGCATAGCGAACTGAAAAAAGCATACTTTGGGTTGAAAAATCTACTCAAAAAGAGTAAAAGTGTAAGCCCTGATACATTTTTGAAATTTCTTTTTGCATTCTATCTCTTAAAATTTTCATCCTTCTTTCTGTTGGGTGTTGGTGAATCATTTTTTCTACTTCATAAAGGCTGAAGATAATGCGAGTAAGGGCAAGCTACGGGTGGCAGTAGAGGAATTCAAGAGTGCACTTGCTGTTGACCCTGACCATCGTGCGCATAATGTAAATCTTCACCTTGGCTTATGTAAAGTGCTAGTAAGACTTGGCAGAGGAAAAGACGCCTTGAACAGTTGTAGTGAAGCTCTTCATATCAATGAGGAGCTTATTGACGCTCTTGTTCAGGTACACTGTTTATTTTAACATCCTTGTGTTTGTTGTCTTTTACAAGTATTTATTGGGCCATGTTCTCTAAAATTCTCTTCTTTTATCGAAATTTTGTTTAAGTAAGATGGATAACACATAATTACTTATCTTGGTGTTCTTTGCAGAGAGGGGAAGCTAAACTCTTGACGGAGGACTGGGAGGGAGCTGTGGAAGATCTGAAATCAGCTGCTCAAAAGTCTCCTCAGGTAAATATATTTTGAACTCATATAGCATGTTTCATATCACTGTGATTTAATCAAAATCAGAAGAGTTTGAAAGGAGATAAGACTTGAGTAGGGGAATTACAGTAATTGAGAATAAGAAATCCTTGAAAAAGATACAGGAAAAGACACTAATAAATAAGAGGGGTCAGAATAGAAAAATTGATTAACTTATGTCAATCTCTCCATTGTCTATTCGTGTATATAAAAGAAGAGCTTAAACTGATATATATAAGAGGGATCAAAATAGAAAAATAGATTAAGTTAAGCCAAGCTCATCGATATCTATTGATATATCTAAAAGAAGAACTTAATATTGTTCCCTACTCTCTTCAACTGTACTGTACCGGTATCTGTTTTTGTTGACACCTTAGTTATGAATTGGTTGTTAATTTGTTACAAATGAAGTCCCTTGGCCTCTTAGTTGATTGATTAATATGATGCACTAATTTAACTTTTTAAGCGTGATGGTTGTGCTCTTGACTCAAACCCTGTTACTTATTTCTTGTGTATGCTTGTGAGAGGTTTAGAGAATTCATAATTGATTGTAATTGAAGTATTTTAAAGAATTGAAAAATACCCTGCCTTTTAGAGCCTTTTGACTTAGGGTTCTCTCCATGTTTCACGTTCCTAGTAGTTAGTTATTATTTAAGAGTTTAAATTTGATCATTATATTAGAAAATAAGATTAACATTGTAACTAGTAAAATTTTTGGCTTGCAATATAAGATTTTTAACTGTTTTCTGAACACATATATTATGATTCACTAACATCACAACCTTAATATTTTTGTAGTTTATAACCTTAATAATTCTGTTATGTTTAATTAGTAGTTGTCTCTAACTGCAGGATATGAATATCCGTGAAGCATTAATGAGGGCTGAGAAAGCTTTAAAGATAAGCAAACGCAAGGATTACTACAAAATTTTGGGAATTTCAAAACATGCTTCTGCCGCCGACATAAAACGGGCATACAAGAAACTTGCCTTACAATGGCACCCAGATAAGAATGTCGACAATAGAGAAGAAGCAGAGGCTAAATTCCGAGAAATTGCCGCTGCATACGAGGTCTTAGTCACAAACAAAATAACTATTTGCTTTTCCATCTTCAGTCTTTAATCAAGGGACATGCTTGTGTTGAATAACTGATTGTTGCTTTGTGTTTCAGGTTCTAAGTGATGAAGACAAGCGCACAAGATACGACAGAGGGGAGGACCTTGAAGAATCAGGAATGGGAGGCGGCGGTGGTGGCGGTTTCAACCCCTTCGGTGGTGGTGGACAGCAATTTCACTTTACGTTTGACGGCGGCTTCCCTGGTGGAGGATTTCCCGGCGGCGGCGGCGGTTATGAATTTCATTTTTGATTCAGAAAAGTCTTAATCCTTAAATTTTTCTTAAGGAAAGCTATAGCCTTGATTTCCTCAAGGGACCACAGCTATAATGTTGACTAATCACTTGCTAACGGTTGTTGAGGTAAATACATAGGCCATCCCCAAGTTGCTTGCAAAACAAGACTTTGTTGTACTTTACACAAATTTTTGCTTTGTGCAGAAGTGATGGGGATAGGTATTAGTTAAAGAGGCACATTTTGATGTAGAACCATTTAGTTTTATGTGGTGGTTGTTACTATGTAAGGATGACTTTAAATTCTAGCCAACCATTACACTATTTATTTACATATTTAGAAGTCAATTGAATTGCTTCACAGTTAATTAATACCATGAAAATCTGAGTACTCATAAATTTAGGGAAATTCTTTGTACATCTCTTATAGGTAGGGGAAAATCTTTGAAAACTCGAAATTATCCTTCAGAGATGTATCTCAGAACGCACCTTTAATTAGGGTGTTTCGGAGATGTATCTCCGAAAACATGTAGTGATATTTTCGGAGATACTTCTCTGAAATATTCTGATTTGGTTATTTCGGAGATGTATCTTTGAAATTTTGGACAATGATTTTTTTTAAAATCATCAATGTGTTGATAATTAATTAGATGAAAATGATAATAAAAACAGATGGAAAATGATAAGAAATAAAAAATGATATAATAGACACAATAAATTGTTTAAAATAAAAAATACAATAATTATTCATAAATTAAAAAAAAAAAAGACATAAGCTACTGTGTATGCCTAATCCTCACTCCTTGGCCTCTCTGACTTCTGTATTTCGCCGCACTCTTTGCCTCTCTGACTTCTGTATTTCGCCGCACTCTTTGCCTCTCAAACCACCCTCTCTACAACGGCCACCGCCTCAGGATCACTTCGACTAATGATACCTATGTCAAAAGCCTCCCGTATAAACATCTGTATCCGCTGACAGATCGGTAAGAGATCAATGACATGGTCATACTCGACATGCTCGCTCTCTAAGATCTTCTCATGAGCCGGCCTAGGTGGACGTCCAGGAGTATCTGGTGTCATGATAGGATATGACACTGTGTAGAACTATGTCATGTATCCCTCAACACAATGCCAACGGCTGGATGTCTGCATCATTCGACACTCTTCTGGCACCAAATGATGCTCCCAGTCTTGAAATATGCCATTCAGAGCTCGGCGGAGAATGTGTCGGAAACAACCTGAAATGGAGATCTGGGTATGGTCTGCATATAGTCAAACTACCGCATGCATCGCTCCGGCAGATACCTGACTATAATGCCGCTCCCACATATCAGCCACCCAGAGTACAGTGAGATGGAGTCAAACTTTATAATCTCCCGGTGATCGTCGAACAATGTCCATAGGATGTCATCATGGACAGTTCGATCCAGATACATCCAGACGTAGTTGATACTTTTGTCCACAAAAATAGACGTGCCAACCAAGAACATGAAGTAACACCTCAGTGCACACTAACAGTGATAAAGAACAAAGAAGTCGTCTCCCTCTGACTCCGAATCAGCTGCCACATAAAGATACTGGTGATATAGGTTCTTAAGGAATGAAAACTTGGCATGAGCCCCATTGGTGGAGTAACACTGCTTAAATGCCTCTTTTGGTTTAGCTCTCAGATAGTTGACCATCCATTCAATCGCATCATTATGATCGACCAGGGAGTGGTTAAGTAACCTCCCTCTAATAGGAAGGTTAGCAGGAAGGCGACGTCATCAAGTGTGATCGTCATCTCCCCAATAGGCAAGTGGAAATATAACGTCTCCTTGTGCCACCTCTCGACAAATGCTCCCTGCATGCCGTGACTGATGGTGCTATAACTGGAACAACAAAGGCCGACAAGTCCGGAGGCAAAAATAGCCTCTCTGAACCAATCCTCATCAGGGGGATACAACTCGGATATCTTCCGCGCGTGGTTCACGCACTTTAGTGGCCTCCGTTCCTATAAAGATAAATAATATCAATTTTAACATATTAGTGCGTAACTAATTAAAATGAAAAGTGTAACAAAAAAATAATATATCTGTCTCTCTGAAACATATCGAGCGAGATGATCAGTGTGATAGATCAAGAGGGATGTGTCATACGATCCTCATAGAAAACCCGAGTTAGCCTCCTGCTCGGCTTCCGAAACATTAATCATTTCGGGTTCCAGAATCTGAACCCGCTCGGGTTCCTCCTCGTAATCCCTATACGAGGACGCACGTGAAAGGAGACTCCTTGGAGCAGAAGCCGATGTTCCCTCCACTTTCTCCTGCGGTACCCGACCGCGTCCTCAACGCCTCGTAGTCTGCTCAGCTCTCTCTCTCGTCAAGCGGATGCAGTTTGACTATGCCTACCAAGTCTTAATCTGTTGGAGTTCTCTGTCATTTTTCTGAAATAACAAATAACGTTAATCAAATGGAAGCGAATGAACAAGAACATGTTTGAAAAAAAAAACTCAGGCCTATTTTCGGAGATGCATCTCCGAAACTCCTCAGAGGGGTTTTCGGAGATGTATCTCCGAAAAATCCGCGACTTCCATAACCAAAGCTTCAACCTAACAACACCATCTTTACACCAAAATTCAATTTTTACACATAAAAGCAAGCTTTTTACAGGTTATACATAATCTAAACAACTTAAAATACAATTGCAAAGATTAAAAGTAATTGAAGAACTTACTCAAATTTGAAGCTTTTAGAGTTGTTGAAATATGTTGAAATTGAGAGTTCGAGTGAGTTGTAACAAGTGCAAATGAGTAGACAAACTCGAATGAGTTTTGAAAGTAGAGATTTTGGAGGTTTTAGGGGTGACTGATAGTTAGAATTTAGAAGAAATGAGAATGATGGGTGGTTCTTCATATTTGTTATTGTAATGCCCTAATTCTGAGACGTGTGTCCGAAACATCCCTGATTTTGAAAAAAAAGTGCTTCGATAATACATCTCCGAAAATACCCCAGAAAAATAAAATATGGTGCGTTCAAAAATACATCTTCAAATTTTGGGGCTAAAAACAAAATTTCACTAGAGGTGACTAAGAAGGTGTAAGGGTGGGTAAATAAATTCTCTAAATTTATGTTTAATTGTCCGCCAGCCCACTGGTGGGCAGGGTAGGAGTTTCAATCTGACCTCTCAAATCGGTATGGCCCGTCCAACTTTAGATTGGTTAAAATTTGGTTAGGTCCGACTTTAAACATGTTTAAATCGAGTCGAATCAAAATGAAGCTCTTTTGTCTATTCTCTAAAAAATTGGTATTATTGATACTCGATATTAACATTTAAACTTCTTAAAACATGTTTTTAATTAGGCAGGTGTCTCTTATAATTAATGACCTAACTTACATTAGAAGTAAGTTATATTAGTTTTTTTTTGGAATGCATGATAAGCCTTTTTTTATAGAATATAAAGCTAGTTTATAATATGAATCATCATAATTATTTCATTATGTATGTGATATTACTCATTTTACTTTTAAACATATTATCTGATCACTTTAAAAAAAGTCCAACATAATCACATTTGAGTTGTTAGTTATAATGTTGAAGAGTCTGAGGAGGGTTAGAAGTGTCAATGAGGTAATCATTCAAGAGGTTGAGGAAGGTCAAAAGTATCAATGAAGTAATCGTTCAGGATCTAAGAAACCTTCATAATTCACATTAGTAGGGGTGTATGGGTTAGTTTGGGTTGGGTTTGGTCAAACCCAATATCCAATTCATATAAGACACTCTGGTTTGGGTGAGATAAAATAACCACCCATTATATCTGTTGGAAACTCACCAAAGTCTATGATTGATTTCTACCATAATGACAATTTAATTATGAGACAAACAAAGAATGAAGACAAGACAAATAATTTCTGCAGGGTTTCTCTCTGCTCACAAACTGCGAAAATTTTATTATTCACTTTGCAACTGCAAAATACTGTAAATGACTTGCTTGACTTGCTTACAAAAATAGGGGTTACTCCCTCTATTTATAATTGAGCTTACACCCTAAGCCCAAAGCTTAAAATATCTATTTTGTTACTAAATCAAATATAATCTATTCTAGACTTAAATCAAATCTATTTAAATCTAAAACAAATCTAATCTTTTCGACATTATGAATTACAATTTAACACACCACTTAATTCATTGCGTCTAAACTATCTATGTTCATCATGACTCTTAGTCTTTTGAATACTTCGACTTACACTCCCTTCGTCATGATATCTGCAATCTGATTCTCAGTTCTGCAGTGTTCCAAATTCATCTTCCCATCTGCTACCTGCTCTCGAAGATAATGGAACCTCATTTTGATGTGCTTACTTCGATCATGTGCTATTGGATTCTTCGCCAGATTGATAGCTGACATGCTTTCAATTTTCATGGTAATTGCTCCATGATCTTTCCATGTTATCTCTTCGACCAAGTTTACCATCCAAGTTGCTTGACATGCACAAAGAGAAGCAACTATGTATTCTGCTTCGCATGATGATAATGCCACTACTGGTTCCTTTCTTGAATTCCAAGCAACTGGTGCACCACCTAGCATAAACACATATCTTGCTGTTGAATTTTGATCTTCAACATCACTACACCAACTCGAATCAGTGTATCCCACTAACTTGCATTATTTTCCTTTATTAGCTGCAGGAAACAAAATTCCATAATCGAAGGTTCCTTTGAGATACCTTAGTATCCTCTTCACTGATTCTAGATGTGATACCTTTGGCTTCTACATGAATCTATTTACCATACCTACACTATATGCTAAGTCAGGTCTTGTATGACAAAGGTATCTCAATGATCCAATAAGTCTTCTGTATTTGGTTGGATCAACATCATCTTTATCTGCATCTTTCGACAGTTGCAGTCTTGGTTCTGCAGGTGTCGAAGTTGAGTTACATTCTTCCATCTCAAACCTCTTGATAATTTCTCCTGCATGTCTTCTTTGATGCATCATCAAACCTCTACTGATCTTATAGAATTCGATACCAAGGAAATA